CTCAGAACCTTAGTGAGAACAAGAAGTAGGAGATTTCTGATGTTGTATTCTTTTGAAAGATTGCGCTGCACCTCTGTAGTTTTATTTGCTTTATCAGGAATTTTTGTTGGGGTCATGCTGCTTTGTGTACCTCAGTAAATGCTTTGTTTATCTCAACATTATTTTATTTAAAAATAACATCTACTTGGTAAATCTAGGACTCGTGAGAACAATGAATTCCTGGAAAATATACCTGGACCCATTATCCATCGCTCAGCTGCAATTGTGCCCTTTTACATATGCATCTGATGTGCTACTCTTAACTTACATATGAAGCAAAAGGACTCAGAGAGGTTGAGGAAATTGTCCAGAATCACATAATAGATAATGACAGAACCAATAGAACTGGGTCTCCTAATTGCCCGTCCTTTCTCCCTACCCTCCAATCCTAATCTTTGCTTGTAAAAATGATTTAAAGCAGCCTTGAATTGTTTTGGAGGAAAAACAATGATTACACGTACACTACTCATATACAATCAGATCTCAGAAGTTTTGGATTGCCTTTAATTCCTTTTACTTAAGGATATTCCAATATCTTGTCTTCCTTTTCAAAATCATAGTAAGTCAACCATCTAGTGATAACCCCAAACTCAGCACCCATTTACCCACTGCTTTTTCATCAACACAGCTATGTTCTAAAGCAACTAAACTGACTCTTCATGTTGTGATGGAAATGCCCACAGACTTCACAGACCTTGTCCCACCATTCAATTTCAGTCACACGTGCAATTGAGTTCTTAATTTTGAGTCATACACAAGGGTATTTTATTTACATCTACAAATTACATTTGTGCAATTATTGGGTAGGAGGATATTCATGTCAGCTTCTTATCACGATTATTTTATAAAATAGTTTTCCTTTTAGTACTTTGCCTATTACATAGGAGCTTGGGCTTATTGGAATTGCCTTATGATACTGAGGTCAAACTCAAGGGCTTGAACATGCTGGGCAAGTGCTCTACCACTCAGCTACATCCCTAGGTTCTTTTTGTTTATGAGTATCCTACAATGAAGCTCAAAGCTGCTCTGGAACTTGAAATTCTCCTGCCTCTATCTCCCCAGTCTACCAGTCTGATATTCCAGGTAAACTTTTAAAATACGCTATTGGAATATTTACGTTTTACATGAATCACATGTGTGGCTCACAATGTGTTTTTATTGGGCACTGCTGTTCTAGCTCACCCTAATTGTCTGGCAATGTAGGGTAAAGGTGGTCCACTGAAGGAGATGCTGAAGTTGCAAGATCTTCTCACAAATCACTGCTTTTTTTTTTGTTGTTGTTGTTAGACATGCAGTGGGAGAAGGACCAGACAGTGGCTTAGGCACTATTCTGATACAGTTTCACTATTAAATCCTGAGGTGCAGATGTAGTTTGTACTCTAAGACACAGAAACTTTAAGCATCTTGCTAGAGGTTAAGCATTGCGCTTTGAAATGATGCTGGGACCAAACACAGGTCTTCTGATTATGCTGAGCAATGCTGAAAAGGCTTCCTTTTCAGTTTCATTGTTGTTTCTCTGTGTGTGTTTATATGTGTGTGTTTGAGTGTGTTGGTCCTGGGGCTTTTTCAAGGCCTGAGTGAGGGCTGTCCCTGAGCTCTTTTTGTTCAAGGCTAATACTCCATCACTTGAGCCACAGTGCCACTTCTGGCTATTTTGGTGCTTAATTGGAGATAAAAGTCTCATGGATTTTCTTGCCTGGGCTGGTTTTGAACCATTGTCCTCAGAGCTCTTCCTCCAGATTACAGGCATAAGACACCAGCACCCTGCCCTAATCAAGTTGTATATTAGAAACATTTGAAGAATTGTTACTCAGTGATGTAGGCCTTCTAACAAAGTCAATCGATGAGAATTATATGTATCTTTGTGTAGTTAAATAAATGGAAAATCATAGAGTATACTTTGGTAAATTAAACAAGTAGAAACTCCTTCTGTAATGATTGCTACCCAGGATTAGGCCGGAATGACCTTTGCTTAGCTCAGGAGCATACATACAAAGCGAAATTGAAGCTAAAAGTAGGAAATGAACATGGAAGCTACTTGTAACTAACCACAAATCTAATAACTATTCTTTGCTTAGCTACAGAATATCTCTCTTTGAGACCATGTGCTGTAAAATTCCCATCACTGGCACAGGAGGAAAAGCTCTCCTTTTTTTTTTTTATTGTGAACATACTGTACAGAGGGGTTACAAATACATGGGCAAGATAATGAGTACATTTCTTATTGAGCATTGTAGCCTCCTCCTTTGTTTACCCTTCCCATCCTTTTCCATCCTCTCCCCGTCCCCCCCCAACCCTCCCCCCCCAAAGTTGTAAAGTTCGTTTTTGACATGACAACTTGTACTTCTCATTGCTGCAACGGGTCCACCTGTATCCTTATTTAAGCTCTCCTTTTGAATAAGGAAAACATTTTAAATAATTAACTTTAGCTTTATGATCTTCTAGTTTATTCATTCATTTAGAAAATGCTTGGTGAAAACCTTCCAAGCTTGTTCTGGGTGCTCAAGATACTAGAGTGATCAAGGTAGAGTTTTCTTTTCTTTTTTCTTCTTTAGAGTTCACATTCCATTACTTAGGTACTGTGATAACTTGTGTATGGTTTGTCTCTCAAAAGCTCATTCACTGGGAGCTCAGGGAGGTGGTGTTGAGGTGGTAGAGACTTTAAGGACTGAGTACTAGTAGAAACCAATAGTTCTTGGGGCCTTTAAATGGATTAATGCATTCTCTTTAGAGTGGGTCAGGTTTCATGGGCTTGTATTCATTCCTGTAAGAGTTGGTTATTGTAAGAATAGCAGTTTGGTTCTTCCTGGGTCTCTTTGTTTCCTATTCTGCTAAGCAATTTATTTCTTCCTCTTCCACATGTTCCCAAATATCATGTCATCCGGGTGTTCTCAAATAGCCAGAGGCCTTAAACAAACCTCTTTTTTGTATATTATCAGGTATAATATGAAAGCAACACAAAATAGGCCAAGACATATGTTACCAATAGAGAAGATGAAATGGTGCTTAAAATAAGCACTTTCATCTTGCAAATGCCATATGTGACATTTTTGTTAGTTGGGGATTAAAGTGAATTTTGTTTGTGTCCTTCTTGGAGAATTTGAAAATGGAAATGCATCCATGAAGTATAAGCGCATACAACTCTACTATTAGTTTATTTCCAGAATGACACAAACACTCTTTAATTGCTCAACAAGTTTCAATTGGAATGCGTTATGAGATTACCCAATAATTTAGGAGGTTTGGCATACTCATTGAGGTCTTTTTGTTTGCTGGGTTATTCTAACCTAAAGCAGGACTAACCAGAATTCTTCGTTCTTACCCACTGATTCTAGGAACTCTGTGTCATCACCTTCTGTTCTCACTCAACAGATCAATTCTTTTCCATTCTTTCTCTCACAGTCCACAACTTGTGCCAGGTTCTCTGCCACATTATTCTCACACGATTTCACAGGTTCCTCTCCATCCTGGTCCTTAAGAAGAGATGTCTTATATATGACATTATTTCCCCCCTTGAAACTCAGCCGGTAGATGTCTCTATTACTCTCTCAGAGCTAAGACCAGCCTCAGCAAGTAGGTTTTAATCATTTTTTTTTAAACCCACAACAAGGAAGAGGATTTGGTAATTTGCTTAAAAATGAGCAGATGCTCAGGAGGACACATCTCCTTCCTATGTCCCTCCCCTCCAATTTCAATCAGAAATGACAACTTCTCCCTTCTCCCTCTTTTCCAGGAAAAAGAAAAGGCTACTTGAACTAAGCATGCAGGACGTCAACACCCTCCACCTCGGTACTTCCAAGTTTCCTTGCCACCCAAAGCTCTGACACTTCGCTCCCTCGTGCCCATCCCTTCAGGCTTCCCAGTCATCACAAGAGGGGTGGGTGAAACGACCCTCCTCCTCTCTCTTCCTTCCTCTCCTCCCCCTCCTCTCCCTTCTTCTTCCCTACCTTCCTCTTTTCCTTCTTCCCCATCCTTCTTCCTCCTCCTCTTCTCCCTCCTCCTCCTCCTCCTCCCCACCCTACTTCTCCTCTTCCTCCTCCTTCGGGCCGCCTTGGGTTCAGCACTGGACAGCTCCCGCCCCAGCCCAACAAATGGCAGTCAGCTGATTGACAGCGACGCCGACCAAACAGGGAACAGGACGAGTCGTAGCCGCCCTGCCAGGGTTTGGTTGCGGCCAAGCTGTCTCTTTAAACTGGTTTCCTCCCGAGAGCAGGGTGAGGCGGCAGCGTGTGGTTTGTGGCCAAACCTAAAGGCTCCAATTAACCAGCTGCCTGGCCCGGCCCTCTCCACTCCGGAGGGACGCGCGTCTTAAGAGGAAGCTCTTCCTTGGCGCCTCGGGAAGGACCGGCTCCCGCGCTGGCCGTGCGGGTCCGAGTGCGCGCGGCCAGCCTCTCCTTCTCTCGATCGCTCGCTCGCTCGCTCGGGGCGCAGGGGGGTCGAGGCGGAGCCGGAGCCGGAGGCGGGAACGACCAGCCGCGGGCGGGCGCGCGGTGATGGAGCGGCGTCTGGGGCGGCCGAGGTGGCAGCAGCAGCAGCAGCCGCAGCCGCAGCCGCTCTCGAACACACCTCAATGAGAGCGGCGCTGGAAGCGGCCGAGCCCAAAGACGTAAGCAGGCTAACTATAGCCGCGGCGAGCGCCCGGGGGATGGAACCTGTTCGCTCCGGGCTGCGGGGTGCGTAATCGCCGGCCGCCCCGGGCTGGAGCGGGGTGCAGCCAGCCAGCACTGCCACAGGTGATCGCGTCGCCCGTGACCGTGGCTTAGCCAGCTGGGCCGATCTGGAAACATTCTTATTTGAAAGTCCTTTTGGACCGGCTGCCATCTGGAGAAGGGAGAAGACCATCCTCCTCCTCCACCCCCTGCCCGAGTCCCCCCCGGGGGAAAGTCTTCCTGCTGATCACAGCGATCGCCACCAATCTGCGAGTGACTCCGGGCTTCCCTCCTTTCCTCCCTGCGGTCCGGATGGGCGCCATGGCTCGTCCTTTACTCCTTTGCCTCCTGCTCGCTCACCTGGGATCGGGAGCTGTCGGCGCCAGCCGGGACGCTCCGGGACGGCCCGAGGCGCCTCGGGACCGGGCGCCGAGGGGCCGGCAGCACGCGCAGCAGGCGGCTCGAGCCTCTGCCCCGGACCCCTCGGCTCCCTGGAGCCGCTCCATGGATGGCACCATCTTGGCGCAGAAACTCAGCGAGGAGGTGCCCGTGGACGTGGCCTCTTACCTCTACACCGGGGACTCCCAGCAGCTGAAGCAAGCCAACTGCTCCGGCCGCTATGAGTTGGCGGGGCTGCCGGGGAAGTCGCCGGCCCTAGCCAGCTCCCATCCCTCCCTGCACGGGGCGCTGGACACGCTGACACACGCCACCAACTTCCTCAACATGATGCTGCAGAGCAATAAGTCCCGGGAGCAGAACTTGCAGGATGACCTGGAGTGGTACCAGGCGCTGGTGCGCAGCCTCCTGGAGGGCGAGCCCAGCATCTCCCGGGCGGCCATCACCTTCAGCACCGAGTCGCTGTCCGCGCCCGCCCCGCAGGTCTTCCTCCAGGCCACGCGCGACGAGAGTCGCATCCTGCTCCAGGACCTGTCCTCCTCCGCACACCACCTGGCCAACGCCACGCTGGACACCGAGTGGTTCCACGGCCTTCGGCGCAAGTGGAGGCCCCACTTACACCGGCGTGGTGGCTCCAATCAGGTGCCCAGGGGCCTGGGCCAGAGCTGGAGGCGCAGGGACGCGATCGGTGGAGACAGGAGCCATGTCAGGTGGTCTCCGCCGTTCCTGGAGTGCGAGAACGGGAGTTACAAGCCAGGGTGGCTGGTGACTCTCTCCGCCGCCTTCTATGGCTTGCAGCCTAACCTGGTCCCGGAGTTCAGGTAGGGAGAGGGGGAAACAGTCAAACCCCTAAGTCTCCCTTCCGGTGGTGTCGAGGGTGGGTGCGTGTGCGGGGTGAGGGTGGGGGAAGAACGCACAGCTGGCCCCTCTCTGACACTTTTCTCTCCCACTTTCAGATCAAGGTCTTGGGCTGAAGGATGGCCCCAGCGGGCTCATGTGTTTAGGGGTGAAAGCACCCCGCGTTTGTCAGCTTCAGGCACTTGAGATGACCAGTTTCCCTGCAAAAGGGCCAGGGAAGGCGGAGCCGAGAGACCTCACAGCAGCCTCTCGGTGCTTCCCATCACCCCAATGTATGGGAAGGAAGGGAAGTCCCCTGAGGAGTGGTACCATTGAACTTGGGGGAGCTTGGGGGTACAGACAGCAGGCGGGAGTGCTGAATGTAAGAAGCCAGGAGAAAAGGGAGCTGGAGAAGAAGCGGAAAGCGGAGTTCCTTGTGGCTGCCACTTCGGGGTAGCCTCTGCCTGCTTCCTGCCTGTGTAGTTTGGGGCACCAGTTTGCTGTTAGTCAGCTACAGAGCTTATAATTAAACCTGTGCTATCCCCTGGGCGCTTCTGACCACTCAGCAATGAGTCACTCACAGCAGCAGAGCTGTCTGGAGGATCCAGAGTTGGCATTTTGGTCAGTGTGTTCTTACTATCCAGCCTCCCTCTCTTCCCCATCCCTCTTCTTTCCTTCATTCTCTTGTTCCCTGGGTTAGGTTTACCTCAGGGTTCCTTGTCAATCCTTTCTATGCTCCCATACTTTATTAATGAACCTAAAGTTATCCCAGGGAGGAAGAAATCAGTCCTAATGGAAATGAGCAGTGCCATAGTTCCTGTTTGGAGGTGCAGTATGGCATTTGAGAGAAGGTGATAACTCGGAGTTATCAGGTGGTAACTTCTATCTTAAGAAGAGCTTGACCTTTGAGGTGAGGAGCTCCTGGAAGCAACCTTTAGGAATGATGCAATGGCTCATGCCTGTAGCTGCTAAGATCTGAGGATTGAAGTTCAAAGCCAGCCTGGACAAACAAAGCTGTGAGATGCTTAGCTCTGCTTAACCACCAAAAAGCTGGAGTTATGGTTCAAGTAGCACTAGACCTGAATAAAAAAAAATCTCAGGGACAGAACTCAGGTTCAAGCTGCAGGACTGGCACACACACACACACACACACACACACACACACACACACACACACACACACACACCAAAAGAACAAATGCAAGCAAGGTTTGGGAGAAGGCTATAAACTGACTTCTCCCTAAGTCCCACGATGGGAAGCTCTGGAAAGAAGGTGTTGGAGGTGGGGCTAGGTTGCCTCTTTCCCTTCGAGGGACCTGGGAAGAAGTGAGAAAACTGCATGTGGGTGTTTCTGCACTGACACAGCTTCCATCAGGATGTGACCTGATGAAAATCATCAGAGCAAGTAGTGAGTGATCAAGAGGGAAAGTCAGAGGCTTAGTCATCTTGGTGCTGCCTGTTACTGCTGAGTGGCTTCAATCAAGTTACTGAATCTTCCTGAGAATCATGCAATGATGAATTCTGTAGCTTTTAATGTTAACAATACTTGAGGAGGCATACATGAAAAATAAGCCCCTTTCTTGGACTCTGTATGACCTTATGATTCTTTTAAAGATCATGTCTCAGGGAAGGTGGCTCAGTGGTAGAGCGCTTGCCTTGCATGCACGAGGCCCTGGGTTCAATTCCTCAGCACCAAATAAGCAGAAAAAAAAAAAGCCAGAAGTGGCGTTGTGGCTCAAGTTGTAGAGTGCTAGCCTTGAGCTGAAGAGCTGAGGGACAGCGCCCAGGCCTAGAGTTCAGGCCCATGACTGGACCCCCCCCCCAAAAAAAAAAAGATCATGTCTCGAACCACAACAACATTCCTTCTTTCAGAATCATCTCATTTCCTCCTACAAGAGCTGAGCCCAGCTTTGAATCTTTGTCACAGTGCTTGCTCAAAAGGAAGCCAACAGATGCCAGCAAAGAAAGCTTTTAAAGAGTCTTTCAGGGAGCATGAGGGTCTGTCTGTCTGTCTGTCTGTCTGTCTCTCTCTCTGTTTCACCCCAACCTGACTCTTGTCTTTCTACACATTCAGTCTACGTCAGGCTCTATGCCTCTTCACAGCACTGCCTTATTTAGTTCTTATAACAATCCTATGAATTTGGTTTTATTTTAGTCAGGTGTCTAAAGCATGGAGGGGTTAAATTTCTTGCCCAGAACTACACAGTGGTTAAATGATAGAGCTAGGATTGAAACCCACCTCATCTTGTAATGATGAACCACATTTGGTGAAGGTGGCCTAAAGGTGTCTCATTCAACGTAGCTGACATGTAATAAAAAGGAATGCATTTCCAAGAAGACGAAAACCATTCATTTTCACAATTGTTTTTCTAAGGACCAAAAAGTAGGTTACCTAAAAAAACCCAGTGCCTTACACCAGCTAAGATGAAGGGTCAAGGACACAGAGTCTGAGGCTGTGGAGGACTTCCATGGCTCCTACATGTTCTTAAATATGGAGCTAGTTTAAATGCTTTCTTCAGCCAAGGCACAAAACCAGGATATTTAGTAGCTGGCTCTCCACAGAAGTTGGCTAATCTTAAGAGCTCTTCAAACAACAAGATAAGAGCTCCTAGAGCACATTTGCCCCATGTCCCATGCTCTTCAAAAATAGTGTAGAAAATCTGCACAGATGCTCATTCTAGAAGCAAAGCAACCTTAAAGGGATCAGGAGTTTCCACCTGTTGTTTCTTAAAGAAGTTGAACCAGAAAGGTGAATGAGTTATCCCAATATCACAAATCAAAACTGTAGCAACAACATAAATGGAAAGCAGCCCTCTGCTTCTGGTTTAGAAATATGCTTTAGTATCCATCTAGGTAATACTTTCTGGACCACTGCACATGAACTATGTTGGGTACATATCATGTTCCTTTTGAGACAGGGCCTTGCTAAGTAGCCCAGACTACCCTCAAACTCATGATCCTCCTACCTCTGCCTCCCAAATGCTAGGATTACCAGAGTGTATTGTATTCTCCAGTATCTTTTACAACAAAAACCTGCCCACAGAACACAGCCATTGAGTTTTTATAAAAGATTATTATTCACACATTAGAGATATTTAAACAGGCATTCTATGTCTCTTCACACTTATGAAAGTTTTGTGGTTAATGCTTTATTGTCTAATATGTGTAACCTAATGCATATAGAGCTGGGCGCTGGTGGCTCAGGCCTGTAATACTCGTTACTCAGGAGGCTGAGACCTGATGATCGTGGTTTGATTCCAGCCTGGGCAGGAAAATCTGTGAGACTCTTATCTCTAATAAACTACTCAGAAAAAGCCATAAGTGGTGCTGTGGCTCAAGTGGTAGAGTGAGACTCAGAGACAGTGCCCAGACCCTGAGTTCAAGCCCCAGGACCAGAAAAAAATTATATAGATAAATAATGTTGGATAGGTATAGTATCAGGGTAAATCTGAAATAATTTTTAAAAGCATGCTTTGAAGCTCTAGTAATGATTTTAAACATGTAGAGTGTTATTTTCAAAAAGACTCATGTGTAATGAAAAATCCACTGATAATGATTTACTTATGGAAGAAAAATGGAGGCAAAACTTTGTAGCTAAAATTTTTTTAAAAAAATTTATTATGAAAATACTGTACAGAGGAGTTACAATTACATGGGCAAGATAATGAGTACATTTCTTATCAAGCATTGTTGCTTCCTCCTTTGTTTCCCCTTCCTATCCCTTCCCATATACCACCCCCCCCCCCACCAAAGTTGTATGTAGCTGAAATTCTTGCTGAAGATCAATTAACATATTCCTGGATCTTATAAGATTCAAGAATTTAATTTAATTACATTGTATTTTATTTTTAGAAAATATAAATTGAAGCCAGGTGCCGGTGGCTCATGCTTGTAATCCTACCTACTCAGGAGGCTGAGGTCTGAGGATCATGGTTCAAAACCAGCCTGGTCAGGAATGTCTGTGAGACTCTTATCTCCAATTAACCACCAGAAGACCAGAAGTGGCACCGTGGCTCAAGTGGTAGAGCGCTCACCTTGAGCTGAAGAGCTGAGGGACAGCGCCCAGGCCCAGAGTTCAAGCCCTACAACCGACAAAACAAACGAAACATTTTTACTTGTGACTTTAGATTTGTGATGTCCTTGTAGTGTTTTACTTAAGAAAAGAGTTCTTTGGTTTTTGTATTAACTTTTTTCTTTGTGGTATTTAAAGTTCTACAGAGTTGGATCCCCTTTTTCTGGCGGCAGCTGGAAGTGTTCATTGCCTCAGATGGATAAAAGATGCTTTAAGCTGGATGCCAGTGTCTCATGCTTGTAATTGTAGCTATTCAGGAAGCTAAGATCTCAGAATTAAGGTTTGAAGCCAGCCTGGACAGGAAAGTCTGTGAGACTCTTATCTCCAATTAATCACCAAAAAAACTAGAAGTGGCGCTATGCCTCAAGTAGTAGAATGCTAGCCCTGAGCAAAAGGAGCTCAGGGACAGCACCCAGACTAAGAGTTCAAGCCCTAGGACCAGGACCAGCGCGCCACCCCTTCCCCCCCCCCACCCCCCAAAGATATGTAAGTGTTGTGGAGTTGGAATGAACCTGAGTTCCTTTGGAAATCACTTCTTTTTTTTTTTTTTTGACAAACTGAGCAGAACTCTGGGATTCATTTGGTTTCATGTCACTTTGCAGTTGAGGACACTGTCTCAAATAGCTGAAGGAATTTGTTCAATACTTATTGAGCACCTGCTATAAAAATTGCATGTTTACTTATAAGTTCCATGCTTAGAATGCTTAATTGCTTTCAGATGAATGGAGCAACCTACCAAAGACGACACTGGTAAGTTGGTGAGCCCAAATTAAATGTATATCATCTGTCTGAGGTTTGTGTAATTTTCCTGTTACCATATGCTGCTTTCTTAATTATCTAATTCTGTTCCACTTAAAACAAATTAAAAATAGAGGCTGGTGGCTCATGTCTGTAGTCCTAGCTACTCAGGAG